TTTATTAAAAAGTTTATTATTAAATAAATAAATTAATTAAATTAATTAGTAAAAAGACCTCTCTAATAAAAGCTTTACTATGCACTTTTTTTATGTTTGTACATTACATCTTTCATGTAAGATTACAAAAACCACCTGTAAAGTATTTGTTGATGACGAATTATGGTACCTTTTCACGTATATTTGCGTGTGATGGTACCTGCAGGCGCACGCGGAGCGACTTGGTGCGGGGTTCGCTTACGGATATCAGGGGGGTGGCCGCTAACCTCGCACTAACGCGGGTCGTTAACCCACCAAAACCGACCCCCCGATATGTGCAAGATATCGTGCTCGCTAACAAATTGTGTGGCGGCAAAATATTTCGCGATGCGCCAAGGAATTCAGGTGACTATTGCATACGCTGAATACGAAGCCGTCTCTGGCCAGATAAAAGGGCGTCGTTCCCCACCCCACCAACCCAGGTCAGATAGCAAGGCGCAGATCCGCTTCTCGCGCGAACCATCCTTTTCGTCGCTACCACAGCGCTGGGATAATGCAGCTTACTCCACTTCTCTTTGGCCTACCCGCCCACCAGCTGTTGGCCCTGCTGCCAGCAGCATTGCTGGGGTTTGTGGTGGCCAAGGTCATCTATCGGCTCTTCTTTCACCCGCTTGCCAATGTACCCGGCCCTAGGCTTGCCGCTGCTACCTGGCTCTACGAAATCTACTACGACCTCGTGCAGGGCGGTCAGTTCGTCTTCCAACTTCGGAAGCTCCACGAGAAATATGGTGCGTGTAGTGCCGGTTCTTGACCATTTCAATCGCCTGTCTGTGGTGCGTCATCTGTCTTATGCTCGATAGGCCCCATCGTTCGGATAACGCCGGATGAGCTTCATGTCAATGATCCGGACCTCATCGACCTCGTATACCCGAGCGGCGGTAAAATTGTCCACAAGGACCCCTACTACACCAGGCAGTTTGGGTGAGTTACGAAGACGCAACCACCTCTTGGTACTTTAGCTAATAACTTTCCAGCCTAGACGAGGTGCGAAACGGTGCCCAACTACCCACATGTACCACGCTGACCATGCCTTTCTCCCTCTCTGCAGTGCTGCTGTTTCACTCCTGATCACCACACCCACCGACTCCGAAGAACAGCGCTCAATCGTTATTTTTCCAAGCAGGCCGTTTCCAAGTTCGAGCTATTCATCCGCAATACAGCGCAGAAGCTTTGCGACGCTCTAGACGATTATGCCGGGAAAGAGCCCGTGGTCCTCTCGACCGCATTCTCGAGCTTCGCTACCGATATCGTAACTGAGTATGCCTTTGCGCGATGCTATCACTTCCTAGACCGGCCAGGCTTCCAGCCGAACCTTCAGACCGCTATGGACGCTTTGGCAGATATGATCCATGTGCTAAAGCTGGCACCGTGGATGCAGAAGCTGATGAGGGCGATACCTTCGTACGTTCACTTGTGTGATTGATTATCAGTTTCCTGGTCCTGATTGTACCATAGATCGTGGTTGCTCCGCATGAACCCGGGCATGGTGGATTGGATGCAGCTCGAAGAGGTAAATATCCCCTCCCGGCGACCCGCATTCCACTGTGCGCTAAACAACTCCGATACTGTTTGGCATTCTTCTCGTAAAAGACAACGGTGCTGATGTATTTGATCCAAGGACGACCGAACCCAAATCGAAGAAACCCGTGCGCGACTTGAGGACCAAAAGGCAGCTAAGCAATATTACACCGTCTTCGACGAACTTCTTAAAGGCTCGCTCCCAGACAAAGAAAAGCATACACAGAGGCTGTTTCAGGAAGCTCTGTTAGTAGTCAATGCCGGCAGCGAAACAACAGCATGGAGTGAGAACGATGAAAATGCCGCTTGTAGTGAGCTTGCTAACGCTTCTTATGACAGGTCTATCCGTCGCAACATATTACCTTCTGTCTCAGCCAGCTACTCTTTCCAAGCTCCGGAAAGAGCTAGAAGGTGCTATTGCCAGCCCTTCAGAGTTACCTTCCCTCCCAACACTTGAAGCCCTACCATATCTCAACGCCACCGTTACCGAAACCCTCCGGTGCTCATACGGCGTCGCCTGCCGCCTTGGTCGCATCTTACCCGAGGAACCTATGCGTCTCACCTCAGAAGTTAGGACCTCCGGGTCCGGCGACCACAATATGAACCGTACTTTCAATTATGTTGTGCCCCCTGGATATCCTGTATCAATGTCTGCTGTGCTGGTACATACGAATCCAGATATCTTTCCTGATCCCTACGCCTTCAAGCCGGAAAGATGGCTCGACGAGGACGGGAATCGGGCGAGGAACCTCGATAAATACCTTTTGAGTTTTTCCAGGGGGACTAGGCAGTGCTTGGGGTTAAAGTAAGCTCTCCCCATCCTGCCGTCGCGGGCTATATCTCCGCGCTGTCTTCTTGTTTCCTTATGCTACACGCCCATATCATGACTCAATCCGTACGAACATGTAATCGCTAATTTGTCTTTCCAGCCTCGCCTATGCGGAACTTTACATCTGCCTAACGGCCATCTTCCGGCGCCTAGGAGATAGGCTCGAGCTTTTCGAAACGACTACTGAAGATATCAGGATGCAGCGCGACGTGTTCGTACCACGACCAAAACATGGAACAAAGGGTATAAGGGTTTTAGTAAAGCAGCTGTAAATAGCATCTGAATTATAAAAGTGATTTAGCTCTTATAGAGGCTTATATATGTTACGTAGCTTGCTTACTTGCTAAAGAGTCTGCTTAAGTTAACATAAGGTTGTAATGTTGCGTAATATTCTTTAGCGATCTCAATACATATATAAGACTAAGGCTACGTAGGTTAGAGTGGGTATTTGACGCGTAACTAATTCCTTAACGCGATACCGCAAGGAAATTTCTAGGCTATAATATTGTCGCACGTCTGTAGTACCTATAACTACTACACCGGTTTAGCTGCAGTGTCAATCACTTGCCCTACACATCGAAGCGCAGCGTCTAATGCACCCTGTATCCACCCATGCGTAAAACTCGCCTGCTCTCCCGCGAAAAAGACCCTTCGATCCCAGTTGGTCTCCATCATAGTCTTCAGAAACTGCTTCTTCTGTGTTGGTCCAAAATAGTAGAATGCACTCCCACCCGCAAGCTCATCGGCTGGAAACACCTGTGACGCGCTAGCCTCTAGCAAGGCGAGTGATCCCGTCTGAGGGGAAATGATGTCGAGGTTCCGGGCTGCAAGCTGGACGCGGCGCTCGGGAGACGCAGCTCCAAGGATCGTGGCATCTTGCTCGAAAGTGTACGCGGCCATGATTGCAACACGCGGGTTTCCACCGTCGAACTGAGAAATCCCCTCTTCTTTCGGAAATATGGTGTGCCTGATAGGCAGATCACACACGATTCCGCGGTCAGTGCCTTGGCGGGCCTTGGTGAAGATTTCTTTCCACCATCGCTGCGAGTACTGGAGCAACACCTTGGTGACTTCCACGTAGCGCACGTCTCGGATGGCCATCTCCTGCTTTGGCGCAAACGCGCGCTCCTATGGGATCGCGAGCACCAGGTATTTTGATTCCACCACGACTTTGGCTCCGGCTTCGTTGTCATAGTACACCTTAATGGGCGCCTTGTCCAACGTGATTTCTCCCTTGCTGTATGATCTGTCTGGCCACCTCAGTGTCGGCCACCTTCTCTGCTGTTCCTTCTCCAACCCGGCTGACATCAATCACTAGCTGTCGATTGTGCTCCTTGTTCATCTTCTCGCTGCTCGTTGTTCGCGAGAGAGTCCCTGATCCCGTCGGGCCACCGCTGGCCGCGACCGCGTTGACGGGGGAGATACCGAGAGGGTGTCGAGCTGCGCTCGGAGGGAGCTGATCGTCTCCTGGAGCTCGGCATTTTGGTTCTTGAAGTATTGTTGTTCTGCTTTGATTACCGCGAGGTCGGTTCTGACACTCTTAATGATGCTGTTCTGGCTTGCGATAATGCTGCTCTGCTGCACTATAGCCTCCTGTAGGTTCGCGATAAGCTTCGCTAATTCTCCTAGCTCGGTGCTTCCTCCCACGCGTTTAGGGGAGATGGATACGCGTGCGGTGGGGAATGGTGGTAGTTCATTCTGCGTTGATTGCACTTTGTTCTGCGACAGTTGCGATGCGGTCATTCCATTTCTGAGCCGCTAGCACCTTTGCGCCCGGCTTCCTTGTGCGTCCTTTGGGTGGGGCCGGAGGTGGTGTTGATGGGATGCGTTCAGGGGTTGAGGTCGCCATCGGGGCTCCGGCGCGACGTTGTGGGGACCGCAGGGGCCACCTTGCAGCGGGAACTAGCTAAGCGAAAGACTAGGATTCGATTAAAAATGTCCGAGATGAATGTCCTCCTCTTTCAACAATCCAAAGCTTTTTCCTACTCCACTCCATCTCCGCAACCCTATGTCCGGAGCGGGTCGGCCGCCCTCCCTGCTAGCGTCATCAAGGTGTTCGTCCACTTCTCTTGAGATATAAGCATATTGGGTTTAGTCGCAAGCGAACTCGCCTTCAGCCCTCACACTTTCGGGCTGTGCAACCAGCCCCACCTGCCTCAAGCAAAGCTGTCCCTACAACCCTTCTCCTGAACTTTCCCGCTTTTAGACCCAAATATTAGATATGGTTTAGTATTCTTGCTTTGTCTGTATACTCGTTAACCTCGATAGCCAGGTATGATCTTCACAGCAGCTGCGTGAGTTGCTTAACCGCCACAACGCCAATCCAGTCGCTGGTTCCTCCTCCCTGCTCGCGTACCCGCCTTCTGCGCCACAACACACCCTTCGTTTAAAGGCAAGTTTAATCACAGTTGGTTTTAGTAGAGCGGCCTAAAACATTAGCAAGCAAACTTAAGACAGAGCAACACGTAACAGAACATGGGCACCACCACGTGATCACAGAAATAGTAGACTATATTTACGAGTGACTAGTATTACAATTTGCACTCCGTTCCTACCTTATATTTATAGCATGCCACCCTAAGAAGCATATAAGGAAAGAGCAATAGTAGGTGGTGGGTGGGGAGGAGGTTAAGTAAAGATGTAGGTTATTGTGAGAGGTTAAGGTGCGACCGCAGCAGCTTGACTACGGTCTCGTGCCCGTTCTCCGCCGCATACGACAGCGCCGTCCATCCGTACTTATCCTTGGAGTCAGTGTCGACTCGATCCGTCGCGAGCAGCAGCTTGACCACCGCCGAGTGCCCGTTCCCCGCCGCATACGACAGCGCCGTCCGTCCGTACTAGCCCTTGGAGTCCGGCTCGACTCGATCCGTCGCGAGCAGCAGCTTGACCACCGCCGAGTGCCCGTTCCCCGCCGCATACGACAGTGCCGTCTGGCCGTACATATCCTTGGAGTTCACGTCGACTCTGTCCTCCGCAAGCAGCAGCTTGACCACCCCCTCATGGCCGTTCTCTACTGCCCAGAACAGCGGGGTCCGACCCTTCGTGTCTTGAAGGTTTGGGTCAATGCCGTCGTTATCGAGTAATAGCTTCACCACCGCCTCGTGCCCGCTTGCGGCTCGTCGTAGTGGCGTCAAACTGAATATATCCTTAGAGTTTGGGTTAACGCCATCTTTCGCAAGCAGTAGCTTCACCACCCCTTCGTGCCCTTTTCCTGCGGCGCTTGACAGCGGCGTCTGACCGACTTTGTCCTCAGAGTCCGGGTCAACGCCCTCCTTCGCTAGCAGTAGTTCCACCACCTCGTTGTACCCGCTCCATGCTGCCCACCATAGTGGCGTCTGACCGTATTTATCCTTAGAGTCCGGATCGACGCCGTCCTCCGTCAGCAGCAGCTCCACCATCGCCTTGTGCCCGTTCCCTGCGGCCCACGACAACGGCGATCTCCTGTATTCGCTGTCCTTAGAATCCAGCCCAGTAGTCTCTCGCAGCGTGGCTGGCAGAACTGAATGGATCCCAAAATATGCTATACTGTGCAGTCTGGAGAATGATCTCAGAAATGGTACCGTATCGCGTTGTTCGCTAATAGAGTCGCAAAGGTGCCATTGGCCCCAATAACGTTTCCGTAGGCCCATGGAAAGGTATTCTTGTACTAATTCAATTACGGAACCTTCTTCACGGCCGGATTTTCGAAGGTGATGGCCCCATTGGCAGGCTGCATAGCCCAACAAAGGATAGCGTGATATTATTTGTTCTTTGTTGACCGGAGAGCCTTTTCTGACTTGTAGCGATACGTCCAGCGTGAGAGGTCGAAACATGAGATATGTGAGGCAGGTATGGGCAATGTAGTTGTGTCCATATTCGAGCGTCTGCTCAAAAATTTTGCGGCGTCCTGCCAAGTACTCGCGCAGACGTGAATGGAAGAGACGGACCGTAGAAGTCTCCGTATCGATTTTTGCTAGGCCCAGGCAACAGTTAAGAAAGCTGCCACGATCTTGGCGGTTATCTCGATCCAGATCATTGTCTTCCTCTTTTACTGCAAGGGCATCAAGAATCTCATCCACAGTGAGAGGACGCTCAGCCAAATGTATCCACGTTAGGATTTTAGTTGCATTAATTTTCGATCCTTTTGGACCCTCAATTCTTTCCATTGTTGCGCCAAATGTCTCTTCGAAGCTCGACTGTAATGAATTCAGTTTATTTCGTCGGGCGGTTATCGTTTCTCCATCGAGGATAAGGTCGATATGAAGTACAGCTAGAAGAAATCTGCAATGAAGTCAACATGTGGAACGCCCTCAGCGTAAGAGATATTGACGAACAATCCATCAAACATCTCTAGCAGTTTCTGGATAATCTCTTCTTTCAGCTCGTCATTCATAATATCAGGCCTGTTCTTTCGATCATCTCCGATTCTCCATTCAGCGAAAGCTCGAACGTCAGATTCACGAGCTTCAATAGAGATGGTATATGCGTTTAGCTCACACCCATTTAGCATAGACTGAATATGCGGACGCGCAGTACATATCAATCGAATAGAGTTCACTTTTGAATGAGCGCGGGTGAGGTAAGTCAAAAGTCTCTTTACATGGCTGCACTCGTTGAGCGCATCGATGCAGATGTATGTCTTCCTGAAAGCCATGCAGGCCTCACAAAGCATCTCTATTGTTTAGTCAATCGAACGCTCTTCGTGTTGATGGTAGTCCCAAATCTCTTCGATCCCTTTGGGAATTTTGAGCGGGGGCGGGAGCAGTTGTTTTATGATTGCACCAATAATATTTCTCGTGGTTTGCCGAATCTCATCGTTGAAGTCCAGATATATGTAGGCGAATCCCATTTTCAGCGAGCCCATGGGGATTTCTTTCAGCGAGCTCATGTAGATTTCTTTCAGCCAATCAATGAGAACGGATCTGGGAAAATCAGTTAAAGATCCTTTTGCAAATCAGCTTACATACATAGCCACAGTCTTCCCAGCACCCGGAGATCCGAATGCGCAAAGCGCGAAACCTCCTGACGGATCTAAACGCCATTTCGAGAATTCTTCCAGTAGCGATTTGCTAGTATAAGGTAATTTGCGAGCTTCTCTAATGCCACCATGCTTTTTCCAAGGCTCGAGAGGGGAAAGCCACCTGAAAAGTGCTTCTTTGTGTTGGACTGAGACATTGTTAGAAACCTAGTAAACTGAAGCAATAGTCACGTACATTGTTAGTAGCCTCTTGACGCATCAACCTTTTCTTCGATCACGTTCATTTTAGTTTCCACTGCCGAAATATACGTTAGAATAGAGACTGTTGATATCTTCACAAGCTATATGATCAGGTGACTAATAAGTCGGTATTTTCGTACTCACGCTTCTCTAGTTCCTCCAATACCTTTGCTGCATCATTTGTCCTCACAACCTCTTCTTTTTGTATAACTTCCAAGAGCTCTTTGGCATATGCAGCCGCCGTTGCGGCGGCATATCTCTGCCAGATTTTGTGCTTATGAGTATCAGAATAGTCGCAAATTCCTCGTATAACGAGACACGGAAAATTGTTCATCAACCCCGCTGCTTCCATCTCAAAGCACAGTATGTTGTATTTCTTCCGAAGCTTCTCTCGCGTGGCGCCATGCCTCATCACCCGGTCAGCAGAAGCAATGGTACCATAGTGGATGACAGGGTCATTTGTTTTTCGAGGCTTTCTAGCGACTAAGCGCGCTTTATCGCAGTTCGGACAGGGAAGTTTAGGACCGTCAGGGTCGTTTCCAGACGTGTCCTGGCTTTGTTTGGAAGTATAGGATATCTGTCCTGGTTTTATATGCTCGTAGTCCGCTTCGAACAACTGATCACGTTTGGAGCCCTGATACTTGTACATGTCCTCGAAATCTGGATTTACATCTTCCGACTCCAGCGTCTTTTTGACCATCTCAGAAACATATCTTGAGACTGCATTGCGTTTAATCTCATGTTTACTCCGTAATTTCGACACAGCGTTTGTGAGTAGGTTGGGTGGCGTGTTTAACAAGCCAGTATGTTCGAATTCGCCGCCGGTGACCACTTTTCCGCGATCATATTTCACAACTCCGCCTACGAGCTCTGTAAGTCTAGGCACTTGCGATACCATTTAATAACATCCTACCAAGCTCTCCTTCGGGAATGCTGACAACGATGTCGCCGAGTCGAATGTCTTCGTTTGGAAGCTTGTTGGGGTTTGGTGCCCCTCCTCCGATACCCACCATCAACCCAAACCGAATTCTGGGAAAGCTTCGAAGCATATCTGTTGCCACCTTGGCCGCAGGCGTTACACCCGTAGACCCACCGGGAAGGCAAGCTATGACAACATTGTGATCTCCAATGCGGCCTAAGGTATATATGTTTTCATCACCTTGAGCTCGATCAAGGTCTGGATGCACCTCGTCGAGCATTCCATTCGATGCCGCTAATTCGATATGAAGAGCGCATATCCACCCCACAATGTAGTCATCTCTTGTGAGCTTTCTTTTGACAAAAGGTTTGTTAGTGTTTCTTCTCAAAAAAGGTAGAGGCCGAGGTATCATACATGCTTGAACTGGTCGTCATGATGGATCCTTCTACACGACTCCGTGATGGTGCATATCACGACCCGGAAAAGTGCGTATTTTCGAGGAGGGATGGTGAAACCAAGCCACAAAGTCTTGTGCACAATCTGCACGCCGTGCGAACCAATAGAGAGAAGAAATCGGTACAAATTAGGGTGAAGTGCCAATACGCGAGATTGGTAGAGCGAGACCGCACGACTTGGCTTTTGAAATTGTTTACGGACAAAGGAGTTGTCCAGTAGGTTGTGAGTTCCAAAGATAACGAACAATTCTGCTGAACACTATCTCGAGATGTCTTCAGCTGCCTAACCCTAGGAAATTTTGGTCTGGAGCGCCAAAGGTTTGGTCTGGCGCTGAGTTTCATGGATAGGCACCAATGGAAAGTGGCCACGTCTCATCATCCAACAACTCTGGCATATCTGCTTCAACCGCAAGTTTTCCCGTGTGATTAGTCGCACGAATGGCTCGGTTTCCACCTTAGCGTTTCCCGGTGACGGTCTATACCCTGAGATCGACCGCGGGTTACTTCTAATGAAAAGTAACACAGCCACTATGAATACTCGAAGTCTACACCACAATGATACTATTTTTGTAAAAGCAGACTGGATTGCTGATGGGGAAAACAAGTCTCCTTTGGCTCCTTCTAGAGTATCGCTGGTCTTGTTCAGTGTTTCGAAACAATCTCTTTGTGCTAGGACTTCCTTCTGGTATGGTGAAATTCATCGAATTTTGACGCTTGCTTGTAATTTGATAAAGACACATGTTATAACTTTATGCATCTATAATTTCTTTTCTCTATGTCATGGAGGGGTTATGGGGCCAACACGAATATATGGGGTAGTGTAACCGAGTGCAGTCAATCCATGTGGTAGAGACTCCATGCTGAATTAAGGGCTATCTAGATGATGTATATATATGTAAAGGGGTGACTAGGCAGATGAGTGCCAAGCAGATTACATGTAGGCTGCAAAGCAGCTAGTGTAGGCAGATGTAACTTAGTGTAGACAGTAATGGACCAGTGTAGGCTACAGCACCAATCAATGCTCGGTGACACACCCCCTCAGCCTGTACGAGCCATAGTATAGGCTGTAAACGAATGATGACGCTCAAAGGAAAGGGCGCTGAGCCTAAATCGGCAATTTGGATAGGAAATTGAGAGTAATAAGAGCAACCAATAAATTTAAAGAACTAATTCTATTACTAAAGTTCTACTACAGCTGTTAATAGTAATAGCTATTTAGTTTTTATAGTTAATTTTATAACCAAATATTATAGAGTTGTTTTTTAATTAATTACTTTATTAAATAATCTAAATAAATAACTTTAAAAGCGTTTTTTAGTAGTAAAGTTATTACTAAAAGCTATATTAAATATACTATAAAACTTAGGTTTATATTTTATTTATATTATATTAAAATAACTTATAGTTAATAACTTATTTATATAATATATTTTTTCTAGTAAATATTTTAGTATTTAATTAGTATACTTAAAATACTTTTATAAAAAATATATTAAAATTGTAATATTAGTATATAGTTATAAGTAATATTAAGTTTTCTAATAAAATTTAAATAAGTTAATAAACAAATTTACTACTAATAAGTATATATATACTTAGTATTATATTTTTATTTAAATACATAAGTAAACTTATTAAATAGTAAAGCTTTTAAATCATATTT